TCCTGGGAGGTGTGGAGGCCAGCAAATACCTGACCTCCGGCTACCTCCAGTAATTGGTGTGCCCTAGTGCACAACACCTCCTACAAGCCTCCTCCCCCATCCTCCCCCATCATCTATCTCCCTCCGTCCCTCTCTCCCCATTATCTCCCCCTACCTCACTTTCCCATCTCTCTCACTTCCCCTTCAACTCCTCTCACCCCCTTCACCCTCCCACCTCATCTTCCTTTCTCCTCCTTCACCTCCCTCCCTCTCCCCCTTCACCCTCCCTCCCTCCTTCCCTCACCCCTTCACTTCCCGTTCTTCACTCTTCTCCTCACTTCCTCTACCGCTCTCACCTCCCCTTCACTTTCTCCTCCCCCCTTCCCTCTCCCTTCTCCCCTTACTCCCCCCTTCCTCTCTCCCTTCCCTCTCCCCTCTCCCTTCCCACTCCTTCTCCCTTCACTTCCTCCCCTTCTCTCCCCCTTCTCCCTTCACTTCTCCCCTTCACCCTCCCCTTCTCCCCCTTCACTCCTCCTTCCCTTCTCACCCTCCTCTTCTCCCCTTCTCCTCTCTCTCTCCTTCTCCCCTTCACCCCCTTCCTCTCCCTCACCCTCCCCCTTCTCCTTCCTCTCCTTCTCCCTTACTCCCCCTTCCCTTCACCCCCACTTCCCTTCACCTCTCCCTTCCCTCTCCCCCTCCCCCTTTCCACCCTCCCCTTCTCCCCCTTCACCCTCCCTCTTCACCTCTCCCCTCACCTCCTTTCCCTCCCCTTTCTCTTCACCTCCTTCAACGAAAAACTTGTCGTCCAATTAACTATTGTTCTTGACAGGATGTAGGTGTGGTGTGGGTGGTGGTGTGGGTGTGGTGAGGTGGTGTGGATGTGGTGAGGTGGGTGTGGGGTGTGGTGGGGAGGTGTGGTGGTGTGGGTGTGGTGGTGTGGGTGTGGTGGGTGGGTGTGGTGAGAAGGTGGGGGTGGGGTGAATGTGTGGGGTATGGTGGGAGGAGGTGGTGTGGATGTGGTGAGGTGGTGGTATTGGTGGGTGTGGTGTGGGGAGGTGGTGTGGATGTGTGTGGTGGTGTGGGTGTGGTGAGGAGGTGATGTGGGTATGGTGAGGAGGTGGTGTGGTGGTGAGGAGGTGGGTGAGAGTGGTGAGGAGGTGGTGGTGGTGTAGGTGTGGTGAGGAGGGGAGGATGGGGAGGAAGGTGGGGCAGGAGGGTAGGAAGGGGCAGGAGGGTAGGGAAGGTGGGGCAGGAGGGTTAGGAAGGTGGGGCAGGAGGGGAAGGTGGGCAGGAGGGTTGGAAGAGGCAGGAGGGTAGGAAGGTGGGGCAGGAGGTAGAAGGTGGAGCAGGAGGGTTAGGAAGGTGGGGCAGGAGGGCAGGGAAGATGGGGCAGGAGGAGGAAGGTGGGGCAGGAGGGAAGGTGGGGCAGGAGGGTAGGAAGGTGGGGTGGGAGGGTTAGGAAGGTGGGGCAGGAGGGTAGGAAGGTGGGGTGAGGGAGTTAGGGACAGGCAGGAGGACATGGGGGTTCCATTATGAAGCACTGGCCGCACTGTTAATACCGGGAGATACAAGGTCGCGCTGGAGAAAATTATCTCCCCAGCGAGATTCCTCCCACCTTCATCCTCCCACCTCCTCCACCATCCCTCCTCCCATCCTCCATCTCTCCCACTCTCTCACCCCTGCAACAGTCTCCCAACCTCCACCATCATCCTCCCACCTCCAACAGCTCTCCCACTTTCACCCTCCACCACCCTACACCTCCACTCCACCACCCCTCCCCACCTTCCACTACCCCTCCCACTCTCCCACTACCCCTCCCCACCTCCCCACCCTCCCCACCCCCACATGATTGAGAGATGATCATCAACACCACTGACGAGGTTCGACAATCGGACACGAACCAATTAAAAGCGACGCTGTGAGGGTTGTTGTAGGCGGGAGGTGGTCGGTGGCGGTAGTGTTCCTCACGCTGCGGGAAGATTTACTCACCTGCCCCTAACCTCACTCTGCGGGAAGACTCACTCACCTGCCGCCACCCTCACGTTGCGGGAAGACTCATCTGCCCCCACCCTCACACCTAGTAACCTTTTATACCGACGTGGAGGTGGTGGGGAGGCAGTGGAGGTGGTGGGGAGGTGGTGGGAGGTAGTGAGGATGGGGAGGTAGAGTGAGGTGGTGGGAGGTAGGGAATGGGAGGTGATGGGGAGGTGATGAGGGTGGTGGGGAGGTGTGAGGTGGGGAGGAAGAGTGGAGGTGATGGGGAGGTAAGGATGGATGGTGGAGGGAGGTAGATGTGGAGGAGGAGGGGGAGGTGGAAGATGGGAGGTGGAGGGAGGTAGAAGACTAGGTGGGAGGGTATGATGGGAGGTGGAGGGGAGGTGGTTGATGAGGAGGAGGGGAGGTAAAGATGGGAGGTGGTGGGGGGAGGAAGATGAGGGAGGGGATAAAGATGTGGAGGTGGTGGGGAGGTAAAGATGTGGAGGTGGTGGGGAGTAAAGATGTGAGGTGGGGATAAGGATGTGGGAGGGAGGGGAGGAAGATGTGAGGTGGTGGGGAGGTATGATGGAGGTGGTGGGGAGTGTATGATGAGGTAGGGAGGTAAGGATGTGGAGGTGGAAGGGAGGTAAGATGAGGTGGTGGGAGGTAAAGATGTGAGGTGGTGGGGAGGCAGCGTGTGTATGTGGAAGAAAATAGAGCCTCACCATACAAGAACAACAACCACCTCTTCCCTCACCTCACTCCTCACCACGCATCCCTCTCACCACTAATCCCCCTCACCACTCATACCCGTCACCACCCATCCCCTCACCACTCATCCCCCTCACCACTCATCCCCCTCACCACTCATCCCCCTCACCACTCATCCCCCTCACCACTCAAGAACCAAAGTTTCCTCAGGATGTATTCATAAGAAGTGTTTTTATATGGTGAATAAATTATAATCGCAGTGAATGGTGGTGATGATGATGGTGGTGACTGAGAGGAGAGTGGTGGTGACTGTGCGAGAGTGATGGTGATTGTGCGAGGGGAGAGTGGTGGTGACTGTGAGAGAGAGAGAGAGAGAGGTCAGGTCAGGTCTCGACTAACACAATACATCACACACAAGCAGTTGCCAACCTTCAAGTTATTTATGTTGGTAATAACTTTTATGGCTGCTAGATACGTGACCCTAGTTTGTGGCCCTGCTGTACCCCCGCTGTACCTGTGTTGCTGTACCTGTGTTGCTGTATCCCCACTGTACCTGCGTTGCTGTACCTGCGTTGGCCCTACTGTACCTGTGTTGGTTGCGCTGTACCTGTGTTGGTTGCGCTGTACCTGTGTTTGTCGCGCTGTACCTGTGTTGGTCGCGCTGTACCTGTGTTGGTCGTGCTGTACCTGTGTTGGTCGCTGGTACTTCTTGTGTTTGTCTGCACAGGCCTGTGTTGGCCAGGCCACACCTGTGTTGGTTGCGCTGTACCTGTGTTGCCAGGTTGTTCCGTGTTGGTCGCGCTGTACCTGTGTTGGTCGTGCTGTACCTGTGTTGGTCGTGCTGTGCCTGTGTTGGTCGTGCTGTACCTGTGTTGGTCGTGCTGTGCCTGTGTTTGCCCAAAGCTGTTTTTCTTGCCCATTTGTGTTTTTCATCTACCCATCTCTTGCCCACCATCTACCCACCTCTTGCCCACAATCTACCCACCTATTTCCCATCTACCCACCCCTTGACCACCATCTACCCACCTCTTGCCAACCATCGACTCCACCTTCTTGCCCACATTCATCCACCTCTTGCCCACACACCTACCCACCCCTTGCCCACAATCTACTCCACCCTGCTCCATTATCTACCCACCCTTAGCCCACCACATCTACCAACCCTGCTCACCATCTACTCCACCTCTGCTCCACCACTCACTGTCCTCTGCCCACCTCTGACCACCACTCACCACCTCCTTGCCCACCTCTTGCCCACACATAATTAATGCCATAAGTCTTACCATGATGGGAGTTAATCTTTGAGTGTTTAATTAAGTCATGTTAATTCAATGTTAACTCAGTGATTAACTCTTAAGGTTGTTGCTGTCAGTTGCTGTCTGTTCATAAGGTTGTTCCTGTCTGTTGCTGTCTGTTCATAAGGTTGTTGCTGTCAGTTGCTGTCTGTTCATAAGGTTGTTGCTGTCTGTTGCTGTCTGTTCATGAGGTTGTTGCTGTCAGCTGCTGTCTGCTGCTGTCTGTTCATAAGGTTGTTGCTGTCAGCTGCTGGCTGCTGCTGTCTGTTCATAAGGTTGTTGCTGCCAGCCGCTGTCTGCTGCTGCTCCGCCATTCATAAGGCTGTTGCTGTCAGCTGCTGGGCGTCTGTTGCTGTCTGTTCATAAGGTTGTTGCTGCTTCAGTTGCTGTCTGTTCATGAGGTTGCGCGTCAGCTGCTGTCTGTTGCTGCCGTTCGTTCATATAAGTGTTGTTGCTGTCAGCTGCTGGCTGCTGCCGTCTGTTCATAAGTGTTGTTAAGTGTCAGCTGCTGTCTGCCGCTGTCTGAAACCATAAGGTTGTTGCTGCCAGTTGCTGTCTGTTCATATGTTGTTGCTGCCTGCTGTCAGTCTGCTGCTGTCTGTTCATAAGGTTGTTGCTGTCAGCTGCTGTCTGTCTGTTCATGAGGTTGTTGTTGCCTGTTGCTGTCTGTTCATGAGGTTATTGCTGTCTGTTGCTGTCTGTTCATGAGGTTGTTGTTGCCTGTTGCTGTCTGTTCATGAGGTTATTGCTGTCTGTTGCTGTCTGTTCATTACCTTCTTCCTGTCAGTTGCTGTCCGTTCATAAGATTGCTGTGGTTAGTTGCTGTCAGTTCATGAGGTTGTTGTGGTCAGTTGCTGTCAGTTCATATGGTGGTTGTGGTCAGTTGCTGTCAGTTCATAAGATTGTTGTGATCAGTTGCTGTCAGTCAGTGTCAGGAGGAAACAGGTGAGGTAGGGGGGGGGCAACACTGACTTATCACCTGTTCGTCAAGACTCCTTCCGGGGAGACCAACTTCTGGTCCCCCGCTCCTCCCTACAGGTTGGCTTCCTCCATGCCCGTGCCTGGCCCCTCCATGCCCGTGCCTGGCCCCTCCGTGCCTGGCCCCTCCATGCCTGGTCCCTCCATGCCTGGCCCCTCCATGCCCGTGCCTGGCCCCTCCATGCCTGGCCCCTCCATGCCTGGTCCCTCCATGCCTGGCCCCTCCATGCCCGTGCCTGGCCCCTCCACACCCACGCCTGACCCACTCGTGTTCCCTGGACCCCTGGTTGCCACACCCAGGGAATGTGTGGTCACCAGCACGATGCACGGCCAGCCAGCCCCGCGGCGTGTGGCGCATCACAGACGCCAGGGTGTCTGCTGTGTGAATGACGTCACTATTGTCTGGCTACCACCCCCATGAAGTCTCACGCCTGATCAGGACGGGGCGGGGGCGAGGGAAGGTGGAGCCGGGGGGGAGAGGATGCTGGAAGAGGAAGGTCACGGTTGGGGGCTAGAAGAGGAGTATAGTTGGAAATGGGGGAGTGAGGGTGAGGAGGGGGTGAGAAACAGATGAGAGTGAGGGTGGTGGGAGGAACAGGGAGCACCGGGGTTAAGAATGAACATAAGTCTCGGTGATGTGGGTGTGAGGTGGGGAAGGGGCGGGAGAAGATGCAAGAGTATAGTCTCAACTTAGGGTGGCCAGTCCCCCCTCACATGTAGGTTGGCAGTCTCCCCTCACCTGCAAGGTGATGGCGCCCGCTCATCTGTAGGATGGTAGATCTCCCTTACCTACAGTATAAGATGGCGGGGCCCCTTCACCTGTAAGGTGATACGGCCCTCCTCACCTGTAGGGTGGCAAGCCCCCCCCCCTCGCCTGTAAAGTAACAGGGCCTGTCCCCTCACCTATAAGGTAACAGGGCCTGCCCCCTCACCTGTAAGGCAACAGGGCCTGCCACCTCACCTATAAGGTAACATGACCTGCCCCCTCACCTGTAAGGTAACAGGGCCTATCCCCTCACCTGTAAGGTAACAGGGCCTGTCCCCTCACCTGTAAGTTAACAGGGCCTGCCCCCTCACCTGTAAGGCAACAGGGCCTGCCACCTCACCTGTAAGGTAACAGGGCCTGTCCCCTCACCTGTAAGGTAACAACCTGTCCCCTCACCTGTAAGGTAACAGGGCCTGTCCCCTCACCTGTAAGGTAACAGGGCCTGTCCCCTCACCTGTAAGGTAAGAGGGCCTGCCCCCTCACCTGTAAGGTAACAGAGCCTGTCCCCTCACCTGTAAGGTAACAGAGCCTGTCCCCTCACCTGTAAGGTAACAGGGCCTGTCCCTTCACCTGTAAGGTAACAGGGCCTGTCCCTTCACCTGTAAGGTAACAGAGCCTGTCCCCTCACCTGTAAGGTAACAGGGCCTGTCCCCTCACCTGTAAGGTAACATGACCTGTCCCCTCACCTGTAAGGTAACAGGCCCTGTCCCCTCACCTGTAAGGAGACAGGGCCCGCCCCCTCACCTGTAGCGTGAAGGCCACACAACAGTACAAGGTGGTCATGTAGTGGGTGTACAGTACGTGAGGTTTACGCATGAACAACGTCCAGGTATCTGGTACTGGATCACTGACGGTCGGCGTTATTTACGATTATTAATCCGGCGCGGGCGAGCGGCTGGGCGCTGATGGTATCACAAAAACAACCTTGGTTTGTAATTGAAAGGCGGAAAGGAGAAAAACATTTGCGTACTCTCACGGCAAGATTTGATTGTGTTCTGCCACTCTGGTTCCTGTAGGGATTGTAGAGCAATCCACCCATTAGGTTTAAATATTTTCAAATGACCATCATCGTCTGGATCATCACTCTTAACTACTATTATCACCATCACTTAAGACAAAGATCACACTACCATCATTATCATAAATTGTGTTGCTTTTATCAACAAAACCCACCACTGATGACTCTCACTATATGACACAATTGACTCTCTTGTTCTAAACCAAATGTATATTAATTCACATCTGTTTCCTCCCTCAGGTAAGTACCTTGTACACTCCGTCAGGTTACACTCATCTGCTTCAGGTAGGTCGGTGCTGACCCTCTTAAGACCCACCTGTGATAATAGCAGGTGAGTGAGGGTGTGTCCCCTACTGTCAACACTGCCCACTGTGAAGGACCACTTATGCCTCATGACGCTGGCCGAGTTTTTGAGGTGTGCTGTGTGTCTAACTCACTCTTAACACACACACACACACACACACACACACATACACACATAATGTTCGTTACATAATGTTTCAGAGATAATGAATTTATATGAGGATAAGTATTTACCCAAAACATAAGAAACTTGGTGTGTGTGTGTGTGTGTGTGTGTGTGTGTGTGTGTGTGTGTGTGTGTGTGATGGCCAGACGAGGGCCCAGGAGAGAGTTGAGATGGCCAGACCAGGGCCAGGAGAGAGTGAGGTGGCCAAGGAGATAATGATCGAGGGGAGGGTGTGAGTGGATCATCAGACACAAGGACTCACTCCCTGGCCGACACTTGCTCCTCCTCCGCCAGATATTAATAAACACGATCTTATCTTCTAACTCCTTATTGGTAGTGAACACCACACACCTCCACCCCCCCCCCCCACTCTGTGTGGGAACGTTGACTGCTACTTCTTACACCTCCTCCTCCTCCTGTGTGTGTGTGTGTGTGAACGTTAATCATGTGAACGTTGACCAAAATGAACATTGCCCATTACATACGTTAACAAAGTGAATGTTTTTTTTTCCCTTCTAAGATAAATACGATGTTTTTGTGGGTAGTGTACATATCGTCTCTCTGTCTGTATTAACAATTACATGGTTAAACAGATTAGTATTAGAATTTATAATAAAACAATACCTTGTAACCTGATGTTTTATAATGGTGGTTTAAAGTATATTATTGACATAGAAATTACTGTGGTTTATTGTGTGTGTGTGTACGAGATACATTAATATTGTTTCTATATTTTTATAGGAAATAAACTGTACACACACACACACACACACACACCTTCTTCTATTCGTGTTTATTCATTTTATTCCTTGTGTTCTTTTAATCTTCTCTTCTCTTTTTCGTCTTTCTCCTCCTATATATTTCTCTCTTTCTTCTCTGTTTCTTTCCTTATATTCCTTCTAATCCTCTTCCTTCTCCTCCTCCTCCTCCTCTCTTATCACTTTTATTATGTAATCACAGTCTTGTTCTCTCGTGCGGCGCTGTACAGGCGAGGGAGGTACGTCTAGTAATTACCTTCTAACCTAATGACACCTGCAGCAGCGATAATGACAGGTGAGGTGTGGAATGTCGCCACCTGCCAACACGTATTGCAGGTGACACGCTAAGTAAGGGGTGTCACGTCAAGGGTACAGAGTTAACACGGTGTTTGTTTGTTTGTCGGTGTGTGTCGGTGTGTGTATGTATGTTATATATATTTAGGAGTTTAATGTTGGTATGATACTGAATATTTGGCTCATTCAGATATATATTTTTTTTTCTTGTATATACACACACAACACAACACCAAACCGCAACGCAACGCAACCCAACCCAACCCAACCCAACCCGAACCCAACCCAACCCAACCCAGCACAGCACCATACCCAAAATAGTATCATGTCAAGAGAAAAAAAACAAATTGTGAGCCCCTTAAAAGTATATCTGACTCACAAGTATATGGTTAGCGTTTTCTCTGGTCAACACAAATATTAACGTGTCATAGATCTCTCAAGATTATATTATTCATTACTCATACCATCACACCCAGAGACCTTGAGTGTATCGTCTGAGCTTTACCCCCCCACAACACTTACCATAGGCGATTACCTGAAGAGTCTCCACCCATTTTACCGAAAGATTAACCACCCTGACGCTTAACCTAACCTAACCTAACCTAACCTAACCTAACCTCAGCCCTGTAATAAACCTTAGAGTGGCTAATTTTCACGTGAAATAAGATGGGGTGGTGATGCTTTAGGTGGACTTGTCAAACGAATGAACTGTTACTCACTGCTGTGTTTATTTGGCTTCGTCATACATTGGTAATTGTCTTAGTGTTGTTTCGGTGTGGTGTTATGGTGTTGGTGTGGTGTTATGGTGTTGGTGTTATGGTGTTGGTGTTATGGTGTGGTGTTATGGTGTTGGTGTGGTGTTATGGTGTTGGTGTTATGGTGTTGGTGTTATGGTGTGGTGTTATGGTGTTGGTGTGGTGTTATGGTGTTGGTGTGGTGCTATAGTGTTGGTATGGTGTTATGATGTTGGTGTGGTGCTATAATGTTGGTGTGTTATGGTGGTGGTATTGTGTTATGGTGGTGGTGTGTTGTTATGGGTGGTGGTGTGTTGTGATGGTGTGTGTTATGGTAGTGGTGTGTTGTTATGGTGGTGGTGGTGTGCTATGGTGGTGGTGTGTTGTTATGGTGATGGTGTGTTATTATGGTGGTGGTGTGGTGTTATGGTGATGGGGTGTGTTGTTATGGTGTTGGTGTGGTGTTATGGTGGCGGTGTGTTGTTGGTGGTGTGTTATGGTGGTGGTGTGTTATGGTGTTGGTGGTGTGTTATTGTGCTGATGTATCCCGTTCACTGTAAAGGTTCCTAGGTTGTTTTAGATGGTGAACACCCTTCGTCTCACATTGGCCTCAAAGACATCACTTTTCTCTCTTCACTATCACCCTTCCCTCTCTCCCTCACCTCACCTTCTCACTCTCACCTTCTCACTTCAGCCTGCTCTCCCCTGCCAGTCACTGTTGAACGATACATAATAGGTTGGTATCAGTGGTGACATGTGAGGGTGATGACAGGTGAGGTGTGAAGGTGATGACAGGTGAGGGTGATGGTAGTGACAGGTGAGGGTGATGGTGGTGACAGGTGAGGGTGATGGTGGTGACAGGTGAGGGTAATGGTGGTGACAGGTGAGGGTGATGGTGGTGACAGGTGAGGGTGATGGTGGTGACAGGTGAGGGTGATGGTGGTGACAGGTGAGGGTAATGGTGGTGACAGGTGAGGTTGAAGGCGATGATAGGTGAAGGTGATGATAGGTGAGGGTGAAGGCGATGACAGGTGAGGGCCGAAGGTAATGACTTAAGGGTGAAGGGGTAGAGAGGTAAAGAGGTAGCGAGCGAGAGAGAGAGAGAGAGAGAGAGAGAGAGGGAAGGGCGGGGTCGCGGCTAAGGGTTCAGGAAGACCTACTGAGGGTGATAAATTATATAAGATGGCAGCTGATCACATATTAATTGGCGCAGGTGACCCAGATATTTCACTCTTGTGTTCGTCGAGGTGGAGAGTGCAGCAGCTGAGTGGTTTCACGTCGCTACAGGTACGGCTGCTAGCTAACTCACTCACTCACCCCACTCACTCACCTCACTCACTCACCCCACTCACTCACCCCACTCACTCACCTCACTCACTCAC